TGGCCAGTCCATCTCCTGACACCTCATCCCCCACTTCCTCCGCATTGGGATGCCACTCCTGGTCACCCCTCTTCCAGGAAATCATCATCCTCTCCCACCTCGTCCGCACGGACATCGCTCGCCAATGCAAAACTCTGGCGGCCGCTAGGGAGAGGGAGGCCTGTCAGAGATGCTCCAGGCATGGCACCGCTCTGGAGCCCCCCACCCTCCACCCTCCCGCCCCCGAAAGGGACGGGACGCCCGTCACGGTTGTAGAACTCCATGATGCCGTAGTTCCGAACCCTAAACTATGTGTTACTGCAAGGATTTCGAGTGGGCGAATAGGTCTTGTAACTTTAGATCTCCAAAACCCTAACCCCCACGCGCAACCAAGTCCTCTCCTCCGTACTGTAAAACCGCCCTACGTAAGGTCGGGAAAAAACGAATTACTGTGGGGGGAGGTTTTTGACAAATGCGGGTGGTGTAGTTATGTGGCGCGAGTACGGTAGGGACCAAACGAAACTAGATCTGCATAGTTGGGGAAGAAATTTCGACCAAATGGTCGAAATTTCCAACCCTTCCCAATTTTGATCGCGCTGCTGCCGACGGGTAGCGGTGCGAACCCGACCCGACTTCGGGTATTTACCTGACCTCGGGTATGTAATACCCGTCCCGGCGGGTACCCGATACCCGCGTAGTCGGGTAGAATTTCGGGTAGCGGGTATCGAATACCCGCCCGGGTAAACCCGGACCCGACCCGCCGGGTATTATACAGGATTTCTGATACCCGACCCGCCCTAAAAGCGTGTCCGGGTACCGGGTACCCGACCCGGTCGGGTAGTTTGCTCAAGCCTACTCCTACTGCTGCATCTGCTGCGGCTGCGCTTCTTGTTTCTGCTCTTCGTCCTTCTGCTATTCCCGCTGCAACTCCTACCGCGTCCACTACCGAATTGGACCATTGCGCTTTCAGCAGCAGCAAAGAGGGGCCCAAGCAGGAAAAGGGAGTTCTGACCGGGAGTGGAGGAGGGGAGCAGAAGGGCCAGTCTTCTGTGGCTGGAAGCAGCGGGGAAGAGAAAAATGCTTCTGCAGAGGGAGCTTGCTGGTTACAGTCCATGATTCCGAATTTTGAAGAGGATTTTGGGAAGTTGATTGCGCAGTTGAGGAATGAGATGAGCTTGACATCTGCTACAATGGAAGCTCACAATTCAAGAGCGCATCAGCTGCAGTCGCAGAACACGCAGTCTGTGGAGATGTTGCAAGAACAGTGGAAGGAACTTAAGGAACGGAATCCGGCACTCGAGAAACTGGTCGGTGGAGTAGAACAGTCGGCTCGGCAACTTGGCAAAGGAATGGAACAACCGGGAGCTGGGGAAATGTCAGAGGTGCTTCAGCTGCTGTCTCAGGCAGAGATGGTTCATTACCTGGACGTCACAAGCGGCTGGGATCGGGATCTGTGCGAGTGCTGCTTTGCCCGCGCAGTGGGATGCAGAGCACAGGGCGTGCTTGAGATGAAGAACCTGGAGGACTTACGTCGCCACCTGCGCAAAGCGCAGCCTGATTCCATCCCTGCTGCTGCTGTCCCGGAGCGCCAGAACCAGGCCTTTCTTGAGTACTCCAAAGGGGTACCGGTGCAGGCGCTACGGGGGAGCCACAAAATGTCGCCGCAAGAGCTGTTTGCATGGAAGGCGGAAAGGGCGCCTCGCCTGTGTGCGGAAACGATGTTCCTCGAGTGGATGGCTGAGCCTCGCGTGGGCGTGCTCATGGACCTGGGGAAGATTAGATTCTGCCTGCCGGCTGTCTTCGCTGCTACACATGCTCCAGCAGATTCCTCCTCCTCTGCTGCTGCTGCTGCTCCTGCTGCTGCTACCTCTTCCTCTCCTGCTTCTGCAGCGTGGTCCTACTGCTGGCGCTGCAGCAGCTGCTGGGCTGGCTACCGCCGTGCTGTCAACTTTGCTACATCCCTCGTGCTTGTGGCATCGTCTCCCAGCCTCGTGACGTTATGGAAAGCCCATTTGAATGGGTATTCATCTGCCTGGCCAGCGATTGTGGCTGAGCTGGGGACGGTCAGGCAGGCAGGGACTGTCAGTTTCGCTTCCATGCTGGTGCAGATTCTCGGGGTGAAGGGGGATGCTGAACTCAATGAGGGATTTGGGTATTTCGTGCAGAATCTGCTGTCAGGCGGCCTTGAGAAGGCCCATGCGGAGGGGAAGGGGAAATTGGAGGATGTGGGAGAATGGGATACCGAGCAGATGGGGAATGAGGGGGGCACAGGGTTTGCTAGCAGCAGCAAAGGGGATGGGAAGGATGGGAAGTGGAGGGAGCATTTGAAGGGGCCTGTGTGGGAGAGGTATGTGGATGGCATGGCTTGGATTCTGGAGCATGGCGGGGGGAAAGGGAGAGAGTTCAGGTGCAGCCACTGCAGCGGGGACAGCAGCAGCAGCAGTGGAAACAGCAACAGCAGCATTAGCAGATTTGCCAGCAGCAGCGGCAGCAGCAGCAGCAGCAGTGCTCCTAAGAGTTTGTGTGTGAGTGGTGTGGGTGCAACCGAGTTCGCGCTCGCTGTTGCTACAGTGCTCTCTAAGCCAGAGCACTGGAAGGACACAGTGGCGCTTATTCATGATGGGAATGATGCGAGCAAGATGCTGGTTGAGGATGCAGGGGTCAGGGTGGCCAGGAAGATTCTGCTTAGGTTGAAACAGACAAGGGAGAAGGATGGAGGAGGAGGAGCAGGAGGAGAAGCAGGAAGAGGAGGAACAGGAGGAGGAGCAGCGGGGATAGGAGCTGCTACCCATCCTGGGCTTGTGCCTGTCAACACAAATCCTGTGGTTGCCACCTTTACCTATCGGGCCAGTTGTATTGTGCAAGGGGTCCGAGTCTACGGCTCAGGTTCCATCTCGGGGAAACACTGCTTCAAGGACAGCCCAGAGAGAAAGGTCCTGCCCATGCGCCATCCGCTTCGGGACCTTCCGAGCCTGCTGGTGAGGCTCGGCTCCATCCCCAAGCCTCTGAACGAAGGCAGCTGTCCTATGGAGTGGGAGGAGTGGCCAAAGGGGGATGAAGCTGCTGTGCATTTTCCTCTCAACCAGAGACTGAGATGCTTTGGGCTGGGGATTGTGGAGGAGCGTGGGGCAGCAGAGACGTGGGGACAGGCACCATCTGAGCAGGCAGCAACTGGGCAGGCACCATCTGAGCCAGCATGGTGTGTGGGTGGAGTGTCTAGGAGGGCAAGGAAGAAAAGGAAGGTTGACAGAGGGGGGCTTGCGGGATATGGGAGGATGGTAGGGAGTGGGAGAGACGAGGCAAGCAGAGAAGAGGCGCCCACACGTGCATTCCCCCCCATCCGAAGGAAATTCCCCATCGTCCGCTGCAAGGCAGACGTGGACTTTCTGGTGGGGTTTGCCGGTTACTTGATGGATCCACCGGCGTGCACCCGGTGCAAGAGCTGCTTCAAGCGCTACACCTTCCACATCCCCATGGTTGCTTTCATGGCCAATTTCGCCTACCAACCTGTCAGTGTTCTTTTCAACCGCTTCGTCTCCATCTTCCCGCCCCACTCCCCTGACTACAAGCTGGTCAGCTGCCTGGACTACCACGCGCCCATGCCCAGGCCCGTGAACAAGCACATGATGCTCACTCGAGCCGAGCAGCTGCCCCTCTTCTTCCTCATCCTCACGACTCTCTGGTGGACTCGCCCAATTCTGGGGATCGATGAGTGGAAGGGGAGCCACGAAGGGAACGGGCAGGCAGCGCAGGCAGTTGCTCGAGAGGAAGCTGAGAAGAAGGGGAGAAACGGTGGCAGGGGGAAGGTTTGGGATCAGGAGGGGTGTGGAGAGGTGTGGGAGGAGGTGCAGGGGTGGTCCTTTGCAGCGATGGCAGCGTGGGGACGCAGAGTGAAGGTGGAGGAGTTGATTGAGCCATGCATGGCCAGCAAGGAACGGGTGAGGAGGGGGGGTGATGATCGGGATGTGAGTTGGATTCCAGAGGCGGCGGCAATCCCGAGGTTCTGTGAAGGGGTGCAAGAGGGGTTGCAGGGGCAGCGTGGGCCCGCCAGTAGCAGCAGTACGGGCAGCAGCAGCAACTGTGGTGGTGGTGGTAGCAGTGGCAGCAGCAGCAGGGGAAAGGCAAATGTGCCGCCTTATCTGAAGCCATGGCCGGGGGGAGTCAATCTGGTGGCATGTCTGCGAGAGATGCTGCTGGGGCAGCCTTGCTACCGCCCTCCATCCCGTGATGCCTCTTCCACCCCTGCTGCTGGTAACGCTGCCGCTGCCTCTTTCACATGTGCTGCAGCAACCACTCCTGCTGCACCAGGCGCTGCTGAAGCAGTAAACACATGTGCCACAGCGTGCACTGCTGCCGCTGCAACAGCCATTGCTGCTGCTGCAAGCACCACTTCTGCTTCAGCAAGCACTGCTGCTGCAGTGAGCTTCGCTGCTACTGCCATTCCGGACGTGCAAGGGCGTGTGTGCAGTGTTGAGGGGTGTGGGAGGGCGAAAAGTGGCAGTGTGAAGCTGAAGAGCTGCGCTGGGTGTGGCAAGATGGCGTATTGCAGCAGAGACTGCCAAAAGGCGCAATGGCCCTCCCACAAGCTCACATGCCCAGGCAGGACCGGTGCGAAGAGGAACGGGAAGGATGTGAGCAGGGATGGCGGCATGGATGGTAGGACAGATGGTGTGAGGGATGCTGATGGGGATAGGTTCAATCCTAGTGAGGAATGAGAGGGCGAACGTGAGGTGAAGGAGATGGTTGTGGGGAATGAGGGTTTGGGGTCTTGGAGCAGAGTGTGAAGAATGAGAGGATGAGGGCGGGGCAGTAGGGGATGATGGTGGGAGGGCGAACGACGAGGTACAAGGGGCGGCATAGAAGCAGAATCTCCCAGAGTGTGCTCTTTTGCATGGTGAGGTTGATAGTATGAGAGTGAACTCAGAGTGCTGGTCTCAGACTGAACTCACAGCGAGGTGGTCTGAGTGAGCACGGAGTAACGTCATGAACTTTGTGTCAGTTGTGGGAGCAGTAGATTTGACTGACACTGATGGAAAACATTGGAACTTTCATTGCTGCACTGTGTGTGATGTCCAGGACGATCACCTTTTCAAGTGGCATCGCATCTCACAGGTCATCTACGTATCCTTCTCCCCAATTGCCCTTGTGCAACCTGTTCGACAATATACATCCGCTTTTCTTGAGGCTATTCGACTGGACAGATGATGTGCGAGCACACCCATTCTGAAGAAGTCACTGTAACTGAAACGCTAGTCCTTCTCGTCCACTCTCTTAGCCTCTGAAGCAGCATCGATGGTGGCAGCGTCTCAGTCAGGCAGGAGTGTGAGTGATGGCAGGCGGAGCACCATCACCCTGGCCCTTACTCTTCCTTCTTGCCCTTACTCTTCCTTCTTGCCCACTCTCTTGGCCTCAGCATCGATGGTGGCAAGCCTCTCAGGCAAGCACGGGTGCGAGTGGTGGTAGGCGGAGTACCAGGGGTCTGTGTTCATTGCCGATAGATTCTCCTCCTGCAGAGAAGGGACCAGTCAACAGAGTAAGGCAACCAAGGGGGGCAGCGATTGGTGGGGGATGGTGTAAGTGGTGTTAGGCGGAGCACCAGGGGTCTGTGCTCATCGCTGATAGGTGCTCCTCCTGCAGCAGAGACACACAGAATTGCAGGCCTGGGAGTATGGGCGGGCGTAAACACTGGACGGTGGTGGGCGGAGTACCAGCCTACCAGGGATGTGTGTTAGGTTCTCCTGTGGCAGTGAAGCGCACAGTGATAGCAGCACCTGGAGGGACGGGATTGGGTGAGTGAATAATGGACAGCAGGGGGCAGGCGGAGTACCAGTGGTGTGTGTTCATTGCCGATGGGCTCTCCTCCTGCCACAAACAGCCATGTCTTGATGCCAATTCAACCCCATCAAGCTGGTCGGGGTTCATGCACCTGCATTTTGATGAGCCCCGATCGCAGGCCGGGCGCATCACCCATCGTCTCCGCAAATGAGTCACATGATGGCATGATGGCATGATGGCATGATGGCATTGGCATGATGGCATGATGGCATGATGGCATGATGGCATGATGGCAGTATGAGCGCCATGCATCACACATGCCCATGCGGCGACAGTGATTCACACACCTGCATCTTGATGAGTCCCGATCGCAGCTTTGGTGCATACCCCATCTTCACCGCAAATGCATCCGCCTGTCAAGCCCAGAGCAGAGGAAGCAGAGGGAATATTTTTGAGGCGCCTCAAAAATAGACTCCTCACGCACGGAATATAGCATCACAGAAACAAAAGGCGAGACCGAGTGCCTAACCAGCACAGCTCCCACAAAAGAACGACCCATGTGCTCATGATGATGCACAGTGACACTAGTCAACACGTCATTTAAAGCCCCCGTCTCATAATTACTAGAGTTTTACACTTGGTTGGAGCAGGCAAACTCTGATTCGTAGGCGAGGTAAAAAAAAAAATGACGAAAACGAAACGCAAGTGGCGAGACCATTTTGTTTCGGCATAACACCCGACCAAAAAACAGGTTTGGGGAAGGTTGGCTCGCGATAGGTTTTGCACATCAGTCTGGAGGTTCGTTTTACATCGGACGGTGCAGAAACCAATTTTCCTGCACAACCAATTTCCACTTCGTTTACAGCGGTAAATTTAGTCTTCCACTCCCTGAACCGTCGGATCCGAACTTCTAGACGATCGAATGGTCCAACGTCCCCGTTCTTCCGTGAACTTGCTCATTCTCATATTTCACTGCTGGTTTTACGGTTGGTCTCGCCCCCCAGCAAGAAACACACTGTCCGAGGCATTCCTTGCCTGCCCCTTCATATTCGCCAGCGTAACTGGGTCTGGGTACCAAGCATTTTACACTTAATCGGATCCTAGAATTATGAGACTCGGGCTTTAACGGATTGAATACACGCTTCTGCTGCATGATGCATCCATGTATGCAGCAATCACCTGGCACTCGAACATGCAGTATGCATGCCCGTGGCACTTACCTGGTATTCGAAAGTTCGGCTGATGATGTTGAGTCCGAAGTCAAGAAGGTGGGAGACGGGTGTGGACAGATGCTGGGAGTTGTGGTGGGAGGGAGTGTGTGAGTGTGGGGGAGTGGGGGAGGAGAGCAGGGGGATAGATAATGATGTTGAGTGCAAAGTCAAGCAGGTGAGAGACAGGTGTAGAAACATGTTGGTGTGGTGGGAATTGCGGGAGGAAGGGGGGGAGGGAGTGATTTGAGCAAGTGATTGGGGGGGGGGGGGGTGGAGGGATAGATGTTGACGTTGAGTCGGAAGTTCAACACATAGAGACGTTTGTGGACAGATGCCAGTGCCAGTGGAGGGCGTTGGGGGGTGGGAGGGTGATCCGTGCACGATGAACGTGGATGAAGATAGCGAGAAGTTTATAACTGGAGTTCATAAGTCAGGAAGTAAGTGGGAGTAGAATGGCGACAGCTGGGAGGGTGATTCGTGCTGGGTGCATGATGAACCAGGGTCCAGGATGGAGATGGATGCTGGCATAAGGAGACACGTAGTGGTGGGAGGGTGGCTGCTTCAAGCTAACTAGAGCTGATAAGTAAGGATGAAGGAGGGAGTGGAATGACCACCCCACCAGCGGGAATGCTAGAAAATTGGACTTCTAGGGAGAGGAAGGTCAACAGAAAGGAAGCGTTCGAGAGATGGACACTTGAAAGAGGTGGAGAGAGCACCTGGAAGAGGAGGATGGCGATGATCACTGGCTCCTCCTTAAAGCCAAATGAGCGGAAGATGTCCGGCTGGGATCGCACGAAGATGAACCCTGAGCACTGGATGAGCAGCAGGGCCTGGAGAGTGAGCGAGGGAAGAGAAGCGCGACATGGGAGGGGAGGTAAAAGTAGCAAGATGGATTGACGTGGTAGATGTAGGGCTGGGATCCCCCCGAGCACACGAAGATGAACCCCCCGAGCACCGAATGAGGGGAGGGGCCTGGAGGGACAAGGTCGTGGAATTGGAATTGCAACAGCGTTTGCAAGGAATAGCACATGAGTGCCTACCACAGGGGAGCATGTGCATATACATGTACATGTGCATATACATGTACATGTGAGTCACCTGAGAGAGCAGGAAGAAGCGGATGGTGTGGCCCAGCTTCCAGTGGCCCAGCTCGTGGGCTATCACCGCCACCACCTCCTCCTCGTCGTCCTTGCACTGATGGGATTCGGGTGGAGGAATAATGAACAGCAGAAGGGGTTGGCGAATGGTGCACAAAAGATGGGGATATGAGGCAGGCTGACATGGAGTGCCCCACCTCCTCCCTGTTGACCTTGCACTGGTAGAAAGGGCAGGAGGGACTTGATTGATGTTAAGGGGCACAACACAGGTAAACTGGCGCCCCTGTCGACATTGACTGACGTTAAAGCGAGGATCTCAAGAAGCAGAAAACCAAACCCAAAGGTTTTGGTCTCGGGGGGTCGTGAAAATTGCGAGGTATAGTGAGGGGTGTTGGGGGGCCGGTGTTACTGTTTCGCTCATTTCGCCAACCCGATTCCAAACCTTTTGGACTTGGTTTCGTGCTTCTTGAGATCCTCGCTTTAAGGGGCACAAGTAAACCCGTGCAATGGAGTGGGTTTTGAAAATGCCCCGGCACATGGGCTATCACCACCACCTCCTCCTCCGCCTCCTCCTCGTTGTTGTCCTTGCACTGACAATAAGAGGAGGCAGCGGATAAGGGGCACCGTGCGCACACTCGCAAATTCGTCAGCATTCCCATGTGGAAACACTCACATGCGACAGCAGGGTATCGTAGAGCACAATGCGCTTGTTCTTGAAAAAACCATACAGATAGGCCTGAGACGAGAGCAAGTAAGTTGGGAATGGGGGAGAAGCAGGTGGGTGGGTTGACATAGTGGAAGTGGGGAAGGGTGTAACAGAGAGGCCTGATGCCAGGAGAAGCTGGAACAGTGGAGCAAGGGCGTGGGAGAGAGCGAGGCGAATCCAGAAACCATCACAAAAACTTGTCCCAAGGTAACAGAAATGATTGGGTGCTTAGAAGGAGGCTATCTCAAGTGGGAAAAGAACAAAACAAATCAAAAAAACGCAGGAGGGGGTAAGAGGGGGGAGGAAGGGGGAGGAGAGGGGGGGGGGGGGAGAGTGGGTGGGGAGAGGAGGGGGGGGAGAGGGGGGGGCTCACATTGCTGTGTGCCGATCGCTGTGACCCGTCCATAACAAAAATCTTCTTGAGAGGGTAGCTCAGCGACCCTGCCAGGCCCTCTATCTTGGTCCTCAGCGTGCCTGCCTCGAGCTGCGAAAGAGAGAGGCCACGAGAGGGAAAGGGAATGGGCAAAGGGAGAGGATGGGTCAGTGATCCTGCAAGGCCCTTTACCTTGGTCATCAGCTTCTGTGCTTCGGGCTGTAAGGGGCGTGGAGTGCGGGAGCGGAGGGGAAGAGGGAACAAATGGTAGTTCAGCGACCCTGCAAGCAAGGGCATGCATGTATGCTTCCCTCCATGAACCACTTCATTGAACACGTGTGGCACCGTGGCACGTATGTAGATGGTGAGGCTGAAACGAGGGATGAGAAAATGAGAAGTACACAGGCACAGTCACGAAAACATAACTAGCATGAATGATGAGAGAGTGAAAAGAGAGGCAGTGGCACATGCATGCGTGAGAACACACTTTGTGTGCATGTGCTATTGTCTCCCTTCGAACGAAAAGAGAGACAATAACTCACAGGAGTGAACTTGCTGAAGGGAGGAGCAATAGCAACAAGGTAGATGGTGAGCATGAAGAGAGAGAGAGAGAGAGAGAGAGAGAGAGAGAGAGAGAGAGAGAGAGAGAGAGAGAGAGAGAGAGAAGACCAAGTATGCAGACACGTTAAGTGTGTTGTGCATGATTACAGAAGTGAACTTGTGGAAGAGGGGAGAGATGGCGACGGGGTAGATGGTGATGAGCATGAAGAGGGGCGGAGAGCATGGGAACACTCGTTCGATAATCATCAGTATGCACGTGTGCATGGCAGGCACACTCACAGGCACACTCACAGGCACACTCACAGGCACTCACAGGCACTCACAGGCACACTCACAGGCACACTCACAGGCACTCACAGGCACTCACAGGCACAAACTTGTTGAAGAGGGGAGCGATGGCGACCGGATAGATGGTGAGCATGAAGAGAGAGAAGGCGAGCATGAAGAGCCAGAGGTACACCGCCACTAGATTGCCCCCGACCTGAATGGGGGGAGAGGGGAGTGGGGCAAGGGAAGCGAAAGAGTGCCCAAGGGGGGTGGAGGAGCATGAAGAGCCAGACGAAGCATGAATCGCCAGAGGCACACTGCCACTTGACTACCCCCGACCTGTTGGGAAAGATGGGGGAGGGACGTGGGACAAGGGAGAAGAGAGAAGGCGAGCATGAAGAGCCACATCTACACTGCCACAAGATTACTTCCAATCCGAAACGGGACAGAGGTGGTGGGGAATCGGGGACGAGCACAGAATATGCACAGGAGAAGAACCAGAGTTGATATGATGCACGATATGATGCCACCACAGCTCACACCCATCCATGGGTAGGCTTAAACATCACTCCCATCCCCTGCATCCATGGGTTGGCAATGGCATCAACATCTCTCCCATGCATCTCACCTGCACAATTCGAATCACCGCTGCCAGCACCGGTGGAAGGATGACAACCATGAGCGCGATGCCGAGGATGCGGTCCTTGATGAATCCGAATAGGGTTTGCTGATGGGGGGGAAGATGAGGGAGACACACAGGGGAGGGGCGGGGGGGTGTGATTTGACGCACGACCATGAGCACGATGCCGAGGAAGCGGTCCTTGATGAACCCGAATAGGGTTTGCTGGGTGGGTGGAGTGAAAGCCAGGGGACGATGGGAAGAGAGGCCGGGGGAACAACAGGGAAGGAGAAGATGGAGATGAGGGGGAAGATAGATATGAGGGGAAGATAGAGATGAGGGGAAGATAGAGATGAGGGGGAAGATAGAGATGAGGGGAAGATAGAGATGAGGGTGAAGATAGAGATGAGGGGAAGATAGAGATGAGAGGGAAGATAGAGATGAGGGGGAAGATAGAGATGAGGGGGAAGATAGAGATGAGGGGGAAGATAGAGATGAGGGGAAGATAGAGATGAGGGGGAAGATGGAGATGAGGGGAAGATAGAGATGAGGGGGAAGATAGAGATGAGGGGGAAGATAGAGATGAGGGGGAAGATAGAGATGAGGGGGAAGATAGAGATGAGGGGGAAGATAGAGATGAGGGGGAAGATAGAGATGAGGGGGAAGATAGAGATGAGGGGGAAGATAGAGATGAGGGGGAAGATAGAGATGAGGGGGAAGATAGAGATGAGGGGAAGATAGAGATGAGGGGAATGAACAATCATGAGCACGATGCCGAAGATGCGGTCCCTGATAAACCAAAACAGGGATTGCTGATGGGTTTGGCTTTTGAGTCGACTCAGAAGCCGAAGATACGGTCCCAAAAGCAGCCATGAAGTGCTTTTGAGGCGCCTCTAAAGCAGCCATGAAGTGCAGCACACAGCCATTTGATAGCGCAGCAACACCAGCACCAGCGCACCTTGTTGAACCCGTGCCGGTGCTCGATGACAAAGGTGGAGTAGAGGCCGAAGGGCAGATCTACCACCTGGCGAAGGGGGCGAAATGGCATGGGAGGGAAAGGGCATGGGTGATGAGAGGGCATGGGTGGTGAGAGGGCATGGGTGAGATTTCATGGGTGAGAGAGGGCAAGGGTAGGAGCAGAGGGCAAGAAGTGAGAGAGAAATGCCTACGATACAATAAAAACAGCAGCAGCAGCACCTGGGAGATGAGCGAGGAGGCGAACAGGAAGAGGATGGAGTGCTCTATCTCATTGCGACCGTTGATGCCCCACAGCCATGGCAGCTGGTAGTCCAACGCGCACAGCTGCAGCCGGGCAAAAAAGAAGCGACGGGGGAAACATAACTTGTATCAATAAAAAAAAGACTCTATCTCAACTCAATGCGGCTGTTGATGCCCCACAGATATGGCAACTGGTAGTCCAGGGCACACAGCTGCAGTCAGGCCAGGCAAACGAGCAAATACAGAAGCATGAGAACGAGGGGACTGTGCTGTGCTGAGTCCCCTCAGAACACAAGCTCTCTCGTTGTGGCGAGCAATGTCCCGCAGACACAGCAGCGGGTGGGTGATCGAACGCACACAGCTGCAGACAGGCAAAGCGAAAGAGAGGGGGGTGCTGAAATAAATAACCTATATCACTAAAAGTCACTCTTCCTCTGCGACCATTAATGCCCGACGACGAACCTGTCCGCGCATACAGCCCTGTCCAGGGCATGCTACCAGGCTGTTAAAACCACACCAGTGCTCGCTCCTCGCCTCCCCCAGCCACGGCAGCACCATCAGCTTCAATATAACCAGCTTCAATACAAGCAGCTCCACACAGAAATTCACTGCCCTGCGCACAAAGCCCAGCTAGGCCTTATCCAGACCAGGCTGAAGGCCCGTGCTGGCCCACATTGCCCTCTAGGGCATGTTCTCTCAGACGGTTAAAGCCCACATCCCAGATTAATCAACACTAGGTAGGTGGGCTGGGCAGCTGGCAAAAAACGAGGAGAAGATTGGGTGCAAAAATCGCAACTCCTTCACTTCGCGGCGTCTTTCGTAAGCAAGCTGGGCCTTGTTTGATTTAGGGGGCGGGTCGAATTGGTCCCAGTTTGATCTGACGGCTGGGACGCAGGGACACATGAAGTCCCAAATTGCAAGCACAATTACAGCCGTAGATCGGACAAGGAAACAAACTTCACCGAATCTGCAGGTTGGGGTGGGAAGGCGGATCCGACAACAGGGATTCAGTGACACAATGAGTACCGTATAGCAAGCATGGATCTGCCTCTGGATTGTGGCGAAGCAAGAATTGCGGCCTTTTTTTTCCTCGAGTAACCCTCAAGCGCGGTCCGCATCAAACCGGGCCCAGTTTGATCCCAGTTTGACTCATTTGGGACCTGGGATTTAAGGAGTAAAGGCAACCAGCCGGCCTCACCTCCCACAGACACAGCAAGATGAGGAGCTTCAGAGTCAGCAGCCTCACACAGAAGTCCACCGCCCTCCCCAACCCCAATGCTAACACCAAGCGGGCCTTGTCGAGTCTGTAGGCGCATGCCTTGACGAATTTCCTTTGGCTCACTATGCCAAGTCTAGGGCAGGAGGCAGGGATAAGGGTAGGCTCACCTCCCACAGCCACGGCAAGACGAGGAACTTCAGAGTGAGCAGCTCCACGCAGAAGTCCACCGCCCCCCGCACGAACCCCAGCCGGGCCTTGTCCAGGCTGTAGGCGCGCGCCTTGACGAACTTCTCCTGGCTCACTATGCCGTCCAGGGCGGGCGGCAGGGAGGGGCGCAGCAGCGCTGAGAACTGGCGGAGGTCCAGGAAGGTCTCAAAGGCAAAGGACGCGGCGATGAAGGCTGGGGGGAGGAGGGGGGGGGGGGGGGGAACAGAGCAAGGAGAGGGGAAAATGGGGGAGAGAGTGTGATGGGGTGCCTTGAACGAGGGAGGGGCGCAGCAGCGCTGAGAACTGGCGGAGGCCAAGAAAGGTCTCAGAGGCGAAGGACTCGGAGATGAAGGCTGAGAGGGAGGAGGGAACGGAGCAAGGGAGGGGGAGATGGGGAGAGGGTGTGATGGGATGCCTCGAGAGGGAACGGTGCAGCAGCCCGAGAACTGGCCGAGGCCGAGGAAGGTCTCGAAGGCGAAGGACGCGGAGACGAAGGCTGGGAGGGGGGGGGAGGGGGACGAAGGGAATGGGGGGAGAAGGAATGGGGGGAGGATTATGAAGACAAATACGAGGCGCCATAAGAGAGGGAGGGGCGCAGCAGCGCTAAGGACTGGCGGAGGTTGAGGAAGAGCTCAAAGGCGGTGGATGCGGAGACGAACGCTGAGGGGGGGGGGGGAGATGGGAAGAAGGGAGTGGGAGGTTGAGGCGCCTTAAGAGAGGGACAGGCGGAACTGGCGGAGGTCGAACGGCGGGATGAACGCTGTGGATGCGCCGGATGCGGCGGGCGCGGAGACGAACGGTGGGATGGAATGGGACGAGAGAGAGGACGTGGGGTCTGCGGAATCCGTGGGATTTGGTCAGAAAGGAGGGAGAGGAGAGAAGAGAGAGCAAGGCTACTGACCGATTGCGACATCGTCCATTATCTAGGCGCCTCAAAAACAGAGCAAGGCAACTGACCGATGACGAGGTCGAGGTACGGAAACACCCTGCCCGCCATGATGGCGAGCGGCGACCGCAGAAGCAGCGAGAAAAGAGGGAGATGATTATGTTGCTCTAAAGAAATGCGGTGTCGGAACAGAGGGAGATTAATTGGATGTAGTGGAATGCGATCTGACGTCGGATGAGTCGAGCCCGATCACGAGGGTGTGGCGGTAGAATGGAGTCTACGCGGCGGCTTTAGCGCCAGCCCAGTCAAAGCGATCTGTTCGTGCAGCGGTGCGATCATATTACAGGTCATATGCCCGCCCTAGACTCCCCAAACGCGATTCGCCGAAGTTGCTAGAGAGGTGGATGTGGTGTGGGGTTACCGCAAGCCTCTTCTGCAGCGGATTCCGTCAAAAGTGTTTGGTGTAAGGAATGAGTAATTCCTTACTGAGGCTTGCTACAGGGCGTACGAACAAGTCAAGAACCATCGCCAGGGTTCCAGACCTTTCAGTTCGAGCCTCCTGGGCCTTTCCGGACCTCGCTGCGACACATCGAGGCCCTTCGTCTTTCATTTTATTGTCATTCACTCGTTCACAGCTTCGCCATTGCCCTCCGCGCTACTCGGCGGTCCCGTTCATAACATTTGGCATCTCAAAGTTGACACATATAAGTCGGCACCCAAATAACCTTAGGTACAAAATATAAGTGTCTATGGGAGTTTCCTCATAACATTGTATGCCAAGGAACTGCATCATCAATATAAATGGGTGGTAATCTATATGAAAATATATCAAATGTCTTTGTTTATTGAGCCCAGCCGTAACTTCGAAAATATCTCTGTTTTTTTCTAAAAATATAAAAATACATTTTTTCCCCTGATATTTTTATTTGTATTTCTAACTCTATCATTATCCATCTAGATACCTTGAAGACCAACTTAATATTAGAATACGTAAATGATTGCTAGAAGGAGAAACCTAGAACATATACATGTTGGGTTGTACTCACTAGAAGCACACACCTAGTCTAGCCTATAACTTCTACATAGAACATATGTATAAGTTGACACACCCCCTAGACTAGATAAGGGGTGGTGCTAAGCAAGAAGCACACAGCTCAGGGTGGCACTACTAGTCCAACTACTGAGGCAGGGGTCCGGAGACCAGTCAGCAAGAGTACAAACAAGACAAAAGCAAGCTAGGGCGGCACTACTAGTCCAGCCACTGGAGGTAAGGCCACAAGGCCAGTCAGAGGAGAACTGAAGACCGAACCTCTGAAGGACCTGACGCACCAAGTGTGACTGGGTCAGAGTGATGGTGCGTGCTGCTCTGTCCCTGGAGATCTGCAGGCTAAGATAACGACGCAGCTCTCCAAGGTCAGTGCAGGTGTGTCTCTTCAGCAGCTCGGCCTTCACAGAGGCCAGTGCGTCCCTGTCAGCAGTAGCAAAGACCAGGTCGTCTACGTACACAATGATGTAGAACGGAGTCTGGCCAGAATGCACAAACAACGAGGGGTCAGCAGAGGACGGAAAGAACTGCAGGTCTGCTAACGTGGCACGCAGCGTGTCGTGCGACTCGCGAGGAGCCTGACGCAGGCCGTAGACCGGGCGCCGGAGAAGCCACTGGGTCCCAGGATGGAAGGTACCAGTGAAGCCCTGAGGTCGACGCAGGTAGACCTGCTCGTGTAGGCTGCCCTGAAGAAAGGCAGTAGAGAAGTCGAGGGAGTGAAGCTCGTAATCGCGCTGTGCTGCTACGTGTAGCAGCGCCCGAAGAGTGGTCATCTTCGGGGTCGGGGCGAAGGTCTGGAAGAAGTCAACCCCCTCGCGCTGGTTGAAGCCTCTGGCCACGTAGCGCGCCTTGAAGACAAGCGGCTCTCCAGGGGGGCGCTTCACCTTGAAGAGCCACCGACCATCGACTACGTTCACCCCACTCGGGGGAACTTTGTCGACGCAAGTGCCGGTGAACCTCCAAGATGCCATCTCCTGCTCCATGGCAGCTATCCACTGAGAGGCCCAGGGTCCCGAGGTGGCCTCAGCGTAGGTGCGAGGGGTCGGGATGTCGAAGGCGTCAGGGTCACCCTCTGGGACTAGGAGCATGGAGCAGAGATGGGGAGCGGCCTCGGAAAAGAAAGCAAGCTCGTACTGGCTGTCCTCTAGTACGTCACTGCCAAGGGCAGATGCACCCCCGACGGGCACAGGACGGGCAGGGTCAGAGACCAGAGCGGTAGTGTAGTCAAGGCGGCGGGGTAGAGGCGAAATCAGCAACAGCAGCAACAAGCGCGTCAAGGCAGGAGACAGGAACAGACGCGTCTGTAACAAGAGAGGCAAGGACACAAGGGACAAGGGGACTAGCGGCACAGGGGTAGTCAGACAGCGAGGGAGGTGCAACAACGAGCGACGAGGGAGGAGGCGAGGGGCGGAGGGGAGGACGAGACGAGTGAGAACGGAGTAACATACGATGGGAGCGCGGAACAGGGGAGACGGGACGAGCATGGGAGGGACAGCGAGACGAAACGTGGGACGGAGGTGTAGGGTCAGGAGACAGGGGAGGTGACACAAGGGGGGAACGAGGAGGAAGACGCGCCGGAGAAGAGTCCGGGGGCGGGAACACAGGGCCGTAGGCAGGAAAGTGAGGAGGAGGTGGGGGAGACACCGGCAAGCGGTCAGCGGAGGGAAGGCCGAGCAGGCGAAGAGCGAAGACCGGCGGCGACGACTGCGGCGGCTGCTACGGCGGCTGGTGCTCGACCGTCGAACCGGCAGGGGCACGACGGCCTCTGGGAGAACACTCAACAGCAGCACCCCCAGAACCAACACCCCCAGTGCGAGAACCCTCTCCAGCCCCAGCGGCACCCCCAGGCCCGCCGAGACAGACCACACCAGGAGCCGCAGGACGAACACCCTCCTCAACGCCAGCACCCCCCGAGGCCAAGAGCGGCAGCGGCGGCGGCGGCGGTGGCGGCGGCAGCGGCTGCGATGGCGGCTGCGACGGCGGCTGCGACAGCGGCGGCGACGACGGCGGCGGCGGCTGCGACAGCGGGGGCGGAGACACCAGGGAAGGGGGACGCGGCAAAGGCGGGGCGGGGGGACCACCAGAGTCAGCAGACTCCTCAACCGGGACAACTGACGGGAGGGGAGTGACATGGGGGACACAAAAGGGGCAGGACACAGCGGGAGGGGAGGAGGGGCTACTGGGGGAGAGGGGGCAAGGAACAGGGGGGGGGAAACCGGGAGACCTCGGTGAGGGAAGCGATGGTAGAAGGAGACGGACTCGTCAAAGGTGACGTTACGAGAGTGGAGGAAGCGGTGAGACTGCGGGTGGTAGAAGAGCCAGTCAGACGAGTCCAGGGGGAAACCAAGGAAGACACAGGGGACAGTGCGGGCAGTGAGCTTGTCCGTGCCAGAGGCACAAACGTGAGCAAGGCAGCCCCAGACGTGGAACGCAGACGCATTACCGGGGGACCCGGTCCAAAGGAGGGTCGGCGGAACCTGCGGCCGCTGGGAGGGCCGCTGGGAGCGTGGCCACAGGTTAAGCTGGTGAGCGGCGTAGCGAACGGCGAACGGCCACAGAAAATGGGGTGCACCAGCATGGATCATGGAGGTACGAGCCACCTCCATGACCAAGCCGATGCGGCGCTCAGCAACCCCATTCTGTTGTGGCGAGTCCGGCAAGGTGTACGACTGGGTGATGCCCTCCGCACGACAGAACTGTCCAAGCCGACCAGAAGCGAACTCTCCGCCACGGTCAGAGTGGAGACACAACATGGGGAGACCGCGGTGAAGACGCGCAGCCACAACCCACGGAAGAAGAACGTCGGGCACATCTGCCTTCCGCTCCAGGGGAAACACCGTGGTGTAGCGCGTGTAGTCGTCGACGAGCACAAGTAAGGAGCGCTCGCCACGCGGTCCGGGGACGGGGGCTGGGCCCCAAACGTCCAGGTGCAGGGTCTGAAGGGGAGCAGTAGCAGGGCGAAGCGAGGAGGAGTGAGGGGCACGGCGGAGCCGGCCCTCGACACAGGGCGTGCACAGTGGAGCAGGCAAGAGGGGAAGGGCGGGGAGCGACGCGGGGAGGTCTAAGACAAGACCGTGCTAGGACATGTAACGCAGACGCGGGAGTGCAGGGTGACCTAGGCGGTGGTGCCACAAAAGGGACGGGTGAGTGAGAGACCGACACGAGCAAGCTGCAGCGACCTGGGAGGACGCACCAACCGGGGGGGAAGCGGTGTCTAGGGTGAACAGTCCGGACAACGGGTCCCGGGGGAATGTAGCAAGTGGGGAACCTGAGACAGCCTCAGAACAGACAGCGAACCGCTCGTGCCCGGGGAACATAGTGGTGACGCCGAGGTCCTGAAGAGAGCCGACACCAACCAGGTTCCTCGAGAACGAGGGAACGTGGAGGCCTGTAAGAGAGCCCGAGGGAACTGCAGGACAGGGAAGGGACGTGGAACTGCGAGTGACGACAGGACCCGCAGAGGGGTCAGCGAGAGAGACAACAGCAGGCGCAGCAAGCGGCGTAAGCGTGGAGCGGTCGCGGAAGAAACAAGCAGAAGCACCGGAGTCGAGAGTGAAGGACAGCGAGGCAGTGGCGGAGGCTGGGAATGGAGTTGGTGCAGAACCTAGGCTAGGCAAACTAGGCAGTCCTACGCCTGACACAGTAGGGGAGGCTAAGCTACACAAGGGTGAGACACCTAAAGTAGAGTACATAGGGCAATAAGATCCAGCAACACTAGAAGCGTCAGCATACAAAGCATGCAAAGCAGCACCTATCTGGTCCATATCTAACTCAAAGATCGGCACGCCCTGGCGAAGCAGGCTGTGCCAGTCGGGGAGGTCCGGGGCCGGGCCAAAGCGACGACGAAAGAGATCGTCGAGGCAACGGAAACAGCGGGCGGTCGAGTGCGGGCGGCGGCACAGACTGCCGCGGAGAGGCCCGGTCTGAAGCTGGTACTGGTAGGTCACAGCACTGGAGCTGCCGGTAGACGCCAAGCTGCGCGGGCCACCACCTTGGCCACCTTCGCCGGAGGTGCTGGGCCAACCAGATGGGAGACGAGCCCACGGCTGCGACGGCTGCTGCTGGGACGGCGGCGGCTGCTGCTGGGGCTGCTCCGGCTGCGAAGGCGACTGCGTCTGCTCCTGCCCACCGGTGGTAGTCCCCTCAGGTGGACTACCGTCACCACCACCACTACCACCACCACTAGTGCCACCACCACGACCTCCCTGGCGGCCACGGCCACCGCGGCGCGGACGCTGCTGCGGGTGGACTGCAGCTGCCGTCTCGGTAAGAGGGGTCGCAGTGGCGACCGCAGCCGAAACGTCAGTAAACGTGCACTGGGAGGGGGCACAGCCATGAAAGATAGAGACTGACGGCGCACCGCTCGACTGAGCGATAGTGCGCTGTCGCGTCTCGATCTCGGTGAGAGTGTCGACAAAGGCGGTCA